GCTATAAACATAGGCACACATATATCACTATGACATGATGTTTTCAGATCCTCCAGGAAAATTCCCAGTAGAGGAATAGCTGTTTAATGGGATTTCCAGTCCAACTTTTCTAGGGAGTCTCCACACTGATTTCCATAATGGTTACACGAGTCTACATTCCCACCAGCAGTGGAGAAGGGTTCTTTTTTTCCCCACAGCCTCTCCAACATTTGTTGTTGGTTGATTTCTTTATGATAGCCATTCTTTCTGTGGTGAGATGATATCTCAATATTGTTTTAATTTGCATTTCATGGATGGCTAGTGATGTGGAGCATTTTTTCATATATTTATTCGCTTCTTTAATTTCATCCTCTGAAAAGTGTGTGTTCGTCTCAGATGTCCATTTCTGGACTGGGTCTTTAAATTTTGGGGCCCTAGTGTGTTTTAGTTCTTTATAAATTCTAGAGAGCATGTTTTCCAACCTTGATGGTACTAAATAATTAGAAAGTCAAACTTCATTCCATGTAAGTTAGAGATTTTTTCATTTTTAGATTTTGAAGTTAAAAATTTTTTCATTTATAGATTTTGTTCTAAGTGGGTGCTTTAGACCACTGAGCCATCTCACCAGCCCTATAGATTTTGAAGTTAAAATTTTTTTCATTTATAGATTTTGTTCTAAGTGGGTGCTTTAGACCACTGAGCCATCTCACCAGCCCTATAGATTTTGAAGTTAAAATTTTTTTCATTTATAGATTTTGAAGTTAATTTTTTATTCATAGATTTTTCTGATTTGTGATTTACTGCTTCATAATATATAAATCATGTAGCTACCTAAAATGGAATTGTGGGAAATTTAAATTTATTACATTATGTAAATAACTTAATGCATGTATCAAAATCAAGTTGTAAATAATACAAAATGAAAAATTCCTCTATACCTTGTACCTTCACCTGATATACTTATTGTTCTTTATAATTATCATTAACCTTCAATCATTATTAATCATTTCATCATTTCTTTGTCATTTTTCTCTCTAAGCATTAGAGTTTCAGTTATGCTACATATGTAAAATCATATATAGTATTAAATTTTTGCTTAATAATGCATTTTAAAATTAGTATAATAGTTGTGGATTGAAGAAATGTAATTAATATATTTTTTTAATTTGCAAAATGTTCTCATTTACTTTTATGGTAATATTACAGGTGTGAGTTGTGTGCCCTTGAAATGTGATTATTTGACCTTGTACCAGTAATGTGGGATGTCTTACTGAGTCAGTTGCAAGAATTGCTAACCAAAAGAAAAGAATTGCTAACAATGGTGGGCTGGCACAATGAAACCTATACATTAGCATGTCATATCATTGAAAGAAAGAGTAGGAATAATGTTCTAGATGTATATTATCAGCCATATTACAGGAAATTTATCTAGAACTACAAATATACATAACTGAAAACGAATATATATATTACATATATAATTATGTGTGCTATAAATATATGGTCATATATATTTACTATATATAATATATGTAGTATGATGTAGAAATGGTCTCTACTTTTTGTTTAATTGGGAAGTTTAGTCTTTTCTGAGATTTAGCATTTAGATTGGCTTTTACTGTTTAGATTGCTCTGTTCAAGTCTGAAGTATTTTAGTAAAGTATTCCATTTAAATCTGTGTAGTAAGTATTTCCCACTGGATTTCTGTTTTGAGGTTATGTGACGGCCACTGATTTTCTTAGTTATTGCATCCTTTAAAAAGTACTTGTTTCCATATAGTAGATTTCAAGCATTTTTCTCTGGTCCTTATGTGAGAGTTCTGAATATCAAATATGTGGAATGCTGTTACCTGCCAATTTTAGAGGACTTTCTTGAAGAACATCACCGAGTCCTAGAGTCCAGATTAAGCTCAGTTAGTAGAGAAATTACAGACAACAGAGCAAGTGCGAGAGAAGAACTGGAAAGCCTCTACCGAAAGATTGTCAGCTATGTGTTACTGCGCTCTGGGCTCGGATCCCCGACGGACATCAAGATTGTCAGAGAGGCAACAGGTACAAAGTAGAAATGATTTCTGATCCACAAGTGAAAATATATGATCATTATATTTCATAAAATTGGTTCCCTTTTTACCTGCAAAAGCAGACCAATAACATCAGTAAGTTAAAACTTCCTTAGACTTCTTTTAAACCATGTATATATTCTAAAGCTCAAGTAGGAGGTCTCCAAAATGAAAAATGGTTCATTTTCATAGAACTGTACATGTCCTGGGCCTATTAAACCTCGTCAGAGAAACACTGGTAATGATGTTGAAGGACCTGGGACATCTGGAAAGGGATACTTCATATGGGTGGAAGGAGCCGAGGTGGTGAAGTGCACTGCTTTATCTTCGGGAAATGTTTACCTACTTTGTTTTTGGCAGTGGACATTAAAACAAACTTCATAACTACTAGGGCTCTCGGTAGAAAAAAATCTATGCTTAAAATAATCAGGGAAGAAAGCACAGGAAGGCTGGATGTCGTGGCTATGTGAGGCATAGTGAGGCATACAAAGTGAGGCATAGCCAAGACATCCAGCCTTCCTGTGCTTTCTACCCTAATTATTTTAAGCATAGATTTTTTTCTACCGAGAGCCCTAGTAGTTATGAAGTTTGTTTTAATGTCCACTGCCAAAAAAATTTACTGATGGAGGGGTAATTATTTCAAATGTACACGAGTCAGTGGTGTTAGTAGTCCTTCTTTGATATATGATATGTTTTCCTATGTATTGTTATCAGAAATTTATCAGATATCAGAAATGTAAAGAATCACTAGCAAGACAAGTTCTTTAATGTTATGCTGAAAGAAACTTATAATCTAAGTTCTGATATTTATTGTATAATTTTGTTTTCCTTTTTTCTGATTCATTTCAGCTGCCTTACAGAGTGTGTTTCCGCAGACTGAGCTGGCGACATTTCTAACTCTTACTAAAAAGGACAAAGAACGCCAGTTGAAAGAACTCACCATGATTGTTACTGGAATTCGCTTATTTAACAGAGATTGTGGAAAAGGAGGAGAAGGCATTGATGATTGTAAGGATATTGTCAGGTTAATTCTAAAAGTTATGTATGATAAAATTTAAGCTGCAGAGTAAAGAAAGTCACACAGCACAGCACTGGCATTCTGAGGTTTAAGATTTGCAATTTTTGACTGTTTCTTAAAAACAACAACTGTTGATAATAGGTTGAAATTTTTACTTTTGCTGAGGTAAAATTTTAAATTTTATGTACCACAAAGCTAGTGTGGGACTGTGAATCAGTTGAAAGTAATGTAGGGGCCCTGCCCAGGGGTTATGCTGTCCAATTCAGTGAGAGTTTGTGTTTATTCCATCTCACCCAAAGAAAATAAAACCATGTGACCTAAAAATAAAAAATACCCTGGAAAGAAAACAGTTGCTTATACAGTTAATGGGATGAAAAAGTCCAAGAGGAGATATTTGCTTATCTGTAAATATAACAGCATCTAATATGTTGTTATAGAAATAATACGTTCTTTTTAAGTTTGAAAGTGTTTATGAAATATTTCCCTGGCTGGTGAGATAGCTCATTGGACAAGTGCCTGCTTAGGTAAGCACAGGGACGGGGGGTTTGATCCCTGGCACCACATGCCTGGCTGGCCCCGCCCCTGGGTGCACTGAGCTAGCCACCAAGACTGGGTGTGGTGGCACACCCTTGTAATCCCAGTGCTCAGTGCTGGGGAGGCTGAAAACGGGAGGATTACTATGAGTCTGAACTGCAGAGTGAGACCCTGTATCAAATACGTAAAAAGAAAAAAGAAAGAAATATTTCCTTAAGGACCTACTATTAGAGTTAACTTAAGAATATGAACTTTATATTCCTGTAGGTGCATTGAAAAGGTACTGATGTCTTTTACTGGATTATTGATCATTAGATGCTGGATCAGTTTTATTTATTTATTTTTTTGTGGAACCACGGATTGAACTCAGGCCCTTGCGCTTGCCAGGGAAGCGCTTATTCCACTGAGCCATCTCCCCAGCTGGATCAGTTTTAATAGGGAATTTTTGCCTGTAGGATTGAACCCTGGGGCTTTGAGCAGGCTACATAAGAGCTCTATCACAGAGCTCCATCCGTAGCACGAATATTTTTCATTTTGAAGGCTGTTTTAAAAAGTCAAATTCCCATTCTTCACAATGTTTCTTTTTTCTTTTTTTCTGTTTTCTGTATTTTAGGGAAGGGTCTAAGGGTGTTCAGGGTCTCACTACGAGATCGGACTCAGTGATTCTCCTGTTTACAGCCTCCCAAGTACTGGTATTATGGGCTCATGCCACCACGCCCAGGCTCAATCACCCTGCCTCAGTGTACCCTGGGGTAGCGCTTGCAAGGCAGGCCCAGGGATCAAGCCCCCAACCCCTGTACCTGCTTGCAGGCATTTTAATCCTCTGAGCTATTTGGCCGGCTCCAGAATGTTTCTTCCTTTGCGAGGCCCCTCTGTTATTTTCCCCTATCCAGATGAATTTCTTATGAAGTATACTTCTTAAATTTATTTTTATAAATAGAAAAGATACTAGAAAGAGGTATTAGTGACTATTTTAAAGGTGAATGACCATTCACACATAATACCAAAGTCTACCTCATCTTTAAACTCTTCTATATTTTAGTGGCAAAAGCTAATGTGCTTTAAATTTTGATTATCATTCTGACAGTATCTTTTGCTTGAAGAGGTTCTTTTTGGAGTCTTTTCTTCATGATGCGGGACCCATGAAATGTGCCAGACTCATTATTAAATTGATTGGAAGAAAATCTAACTCAAAGTAATGCTTAAAATATGAACCCTTGGGGCTGGGGAAATAGCTCAGAAGCATAAACACCTACCTGGCAAGCACAGGGACCCGAATTTGATCCCCGGCCCTGCATGCCATGCGGTCTTGGCCCCAGATTCCCAGACCCCACCCTCCACCCCCAAACCAGGCATGGGTGCATACCTGTAATCCCAGCGCTCACGAGGTTGAGACAGATGGAGCTCTGCCAATTGCAGACCAGCCTGGGGGGGCTGCAAAAGTGAGCATAAGGCCAGCCCTAATTGCATGGTGAGACCCTGTGTCAAAAAACAAACACTTTCTGGGCTTTTTCTCCTTAATTATGCATAAACTCCCGTATGTTGGTCGCCTTATACCCTTTCAACAGTGCCAGCTATTCTCCATGAAGCAATCCCAGCCACCACTCAGTATATTGATGCCCAACTTCAGAATGCCCAGGACCAGGTGTACCGTTACACAGCCATCCTGGAGAAAGTAACAAAAAACCCACTCCTGGGTAAAGAACTTGAGCAGTATATGTTAAAAGAAGCACTGTATAATATGCGACAGTATGAGATCTTCCTTCAGATTATCTTGGTGAGTTAATTTCAAAAGATCTTGACTTTTTTTGTGTAGTGGGATCTCTTTACAACCGGGTTGCTAGTTAAGGAGGCAGCCTCAGTACCTGAGCCGTGTATATCACATCAGTAGGGGCAGGAACTAAAATAGAAACAGGAAAGTTGTGTTTTTACCTTAGTGCAATTATATTGTTAGAAATTGATATGGTATTTGTTGATTTTCTTTTTTTTTTTTAAACATTTATTTATTTATTTATTTATTTATTGTGTGTGTGTGGGGGGGGCCAGCTCAGCCCACCAGGGGGTGGGGCTGGCTGGCATGTGGTGCTGGGGGATTGAACCGTGGTCCCTGTGCTTTGCCAAGCTTGTTCCAAGTAGGTGC